CTTAAATAAAATTTTAAAAAAATACAAAATCTTTAAAAAAAAAAGAGATAAAAGAGAACTTACTCAAAAAAGAAAAGAGAGCTGTGGTACTGGGAAAAAAAAAAAGAAAGACAGACAAATGAAAAGAAGGGGCTGGGGAGATAGCTCAGCAGTCTAGGAGCCTGCCTGGAAAACCCAAGGACCTGAGTTTGATCCCTGCTACTGCATACTGTGTGCGCACCATGCTGGCCACCAACCAGGCAATGGTGTCACATGCTTATATTCCCAGTGCTGGGGAGGCGGAGGTAGGAGGGTCACTACTCTGTGTGTAATGAGACCCTGACCAAATAACTAAATAGATTTAAAAGAAAACAACAAAAAACCTCTGTTGTTCCTAGACCTCATTCTTTAATTTTAGAGAACCCAAACTCAGTGTTTTGGGTGTCTGGCAGGTTCCCCCACATCACTAGGATACCACAAGTTACTACAACACCTTTGTTGCTTTTACAAGGCAGAAAAACTAAATTGATTCCAGCAAGAACTTGAATGAAACCAGCAAGCGGCAGTCTGTGGTTAGAAGAAAGTAGACCGTGCTTTGGCCACTGAAAAACGCAACCTTTTCAAAGAAAGGAAAAATAGGTCATTTGTGTTTGGGTAGGGGAGTGGCCTTCTTTCCACTTACCTGGGAAAAGATGACAAAGCGCTGGCTCAGCTTCAAGCAGCCTGTCTTCAACCCACATTTCTCCGCTCCCAAGCAAAGATTACATTCAGGTCCCCACCCCACTGAGTCATGCTGCAGGCCCAGCGCTTGTCACCACCCTCCCGCACCTGGGGCCGCCTGGGGCAGAGCCCGGGCAGCAGCTGTCCTGCTGGGCTCTGAGAGGCTCACACCTAGTGGTTTAGGCACTCAAGACAGGCACCTCCCTTGGCTCAGCGACCCATTCCTACCTGGCCCCGCCTATCCATGATCTCATTTCAAGTCATTCCAGATTCTTTTAGGATTTATCTTCATTAAAAAAAAGAACCTCACTCAGGTTAAGTGTACTTGGTGTGTTTGTAATCCCAGCTACTTGAAAGGTTAAGTTCCAGGCCAGCCTGGAAAATTTCATGAAGTTTCATCTCAAAAAGAAAGCCAGGGGTCGGGGAGATAGCTCAACAGAATAAGCACTTGCCTGGCAAGCGAAAGGGTCTGAGTTCAATCCCTAGTTCCACCAAAAAATTAAAAAAAATATATATATAAATAAAGCTGGGTGTGGTGGTGCGTGCGTGTGATCCTAGCCTTCTGGAGCACTGCTGTGAGTTTGAAGTCACCCTGGACTACCTATGGAGTTGAAGGTCTCAAAAAGCAGTAACAAAAAATATAATCTGGAGGGCTGGCCAGATAGCTCAACAGATTAAAGTGCCTGCTCGGGCAGACGCAGGGGCGGGGGTTTGATCCCTGGGTCTGCTGTGCCGGCCATTGAGACTGGGTGATGGTGCGCCCCTGTAATCCCAGCACTTGGGAAGCTGTAAACAGGAGTACTCATTGGAGTCCGATCTACACAGTGAGATCCTGTCCACCCTGTCCTGAATACAAAAACAATAATAATTAAATAAAATCAGGGCCAGGAATCTGGTGCACACCTGTGATCCCAGAGCTCAGGAGGATCTGAAGTCGGAGACCAGTCTGGGCTACAAAGGAGGACACTTACCAAGGAAGGAAGGCAGGCAGGAAGGGAAAGAAAAGAGCCAGGAATGCTGCACACACCTATAAATGCTAGCACTTTGGGAGGCTGAGCCAGGAGGATTGCAAGTTTGAGCTCAGCCTGGGCAATTACTGAGACACTTTAAAAAAAAAAAAAATTCAAAATGACTATTATAAAAAAACCACAAAAGCTTTACAAAAATAAAAAATGGCTATTTTATTACTTTTATTGCCCCAAGACACATGCAACACTTAGCCCTCAAAGATAACTGAGGGGCTGGGGAGATGGCTCAGTGGAATAAGTGCTTCCCTGGGGCCTGAGTTCAATCCCTGGTTCCCCCCCACCAAAAAAAAAAAAAAAGATAACAGGGGCTGGGGAGATAGCTCTGTGGTCTAAGTGCCTGCCTGGCAAGGGCAAGGACCAGGGTTCAATCCTTGGTATCACACTGTGTCTACCTGAGATCCGAGCATGGTGGCATAAGCCTGTAATCCCAGCGCTGGGGCAGCTAAAACAGGATTACTACAAATCTGAGATGCATAGCAAGACCCAGTACCAAAATAAAGATTTTTTTAAAAAAGTAATTGAACAAATGAAATAGGACCCAGTGTTCTGAGGAACCAGCAGGTTACAGAACTGTGCCAGGGTGGCAGGAACAGAAGTTGACAGGCTGCTCGTGGAGAGTGGAGGTGTGGGTTTCGGTCTGTTCTGCTCCTCACCAGCTGTGTGGCTTAGCACGCCCTCTACAGGAGGGGGCAGGGGACAGCAGCCACCCAATGCAGCAGGGGTGAACGATGATGGGCGAAGCATAAAGCCACTTTAGCACGCCGCCTGGCACGTGGCTCAAAGGTGACTGCCGAGCAGCTCAGGAATTCACAAACGTACGATGCAACACCAAGGCAGCAGCTGAACAGTGACCCGTACGGGGCAGGGAACAGGCGGTCTCTCCTTGAAGACCGGCCTTCTACCAACCACATTTTCTTATATTTTTTTGGCACTGGAAATTGAACACAGCACCTTTGCATCGAGCTATACCCCTAGCCTTTACAAAGTCTTCAATTTTGAAACACCGCCCCCGAATCTCAGTGCTCTGACTCAATAGGCTCGGCAGAGCCGCAGGTCACACTGAAGTCTTCAATTCTGAGACGAGGTCTTAAGTCACTAATCTGGCCAGGCTGAGCCTGACCTTGGAATCTTCTTTCTGCAGCCTCCCGCGTGCTAGGGCAGCAGGCCACCTTGAAGTACAGCTTTCACAGCGAGAAGGCCTTTAACCGCTGCGACACCTGGTCTTTTCTTCCCCGGTGGTGGTGTTTAACTGACAGAAACACCGAGGAAGGGAAGGGACATAAAAGTGCTAAGTAAACTGCTGACCATTATCTTTATTATCTACTTAAATTCAGAAGAAAAAAAAGCCAAAATTATTGAACATTTTAATATGTTCTGTAAGGCCCTTAAAGTGAACTCTGCCCTGCACATAACTTTTTTGTTTATAGAGCACTGTGATTATTCAGATTCTCAAAAAAACAGTATTTTTTATTAATTTATTTAAATGTATTTGGTTTTTACAGCGTCTCACTCAGCAGCTCGGCCTCCCAGTGCTCCTGCTGTCTTCAGCCACCCAGCCCTGGGATTACAGGTTGCGCCTCTATGCCGGCTTTGTGGTGCTGGGGCTCGAACCCGGGCCCTGCGCTTGCCTAAGCTTGCTTGAGCAGGCACTTCAGTCCACTGAGCTATCTCGCTGGCCTCCAAAACACAGTATTTCTATTTTCCCCCTCCTGTTGGCACAGGAGCAGAATAACACTACCTGAGACTAATAATTCAAGATCATTTAAAGGTGTCATGAACTTGCCCAAGTATATAGATGCAACAGAATTTCACAGAAAGAAAAAATTACCTTCTTCTCTATCTTATGGGCCTGACACTCAAGAGCAACCAGAGCTGGGTGTGGCTGCACTTGCCTTCAGCCCAGCTCTGGAGGCGGAGGCCAGACAGCCGGACTACAGAGCTAGACCCTACCTCAAAAAACCACACCAAAACAAGAAAAAAAGCAATCAACTTGTTTCATAACACTGTGGGCTCAAATTCAGAATATTAATTTTTATATAAAGGGTAGCTGCCCTCTCCTTTTTTTTTCCAAAATAGTTACTTCAAAAGATTCTGTGCTTTTCTTTATTTACCAGGGATTGAGCTCTGGGCTTGCCAGGCAGGCGCCCACGCCACTGAGCTATATCCCTGGCCTGCGATTTCTGGGTTTAAGGATCAAGGCCCAAGAATGCACCCAAACCTGCAATTTTCTTGTTTCCTTTGTTACGACTAATTTCTGCAACCACAAATTTTCTTCAAAACTTAAAGGTAAAAATTGTGAAAACTTTTTTTACATTATGTGCATGAAAATTAATTTATTATCCTTCTATACCTAAGGGCAACATACCTGTATAGTAAGCTTATATATAGAGGGAAGTTACAAAAAGTAAAGTGTTATTCAAACTGATGCCCGTAAATCTTACAAAAATATCCCAAATGGGGAAAAGCTGCTGTCCCTGGTTTTTCTCATTTGGTTGTCGGAGTTGAGATATGAATTTGAAATGGCTGGATTTTTTCTTTTAAAAAGTGATATATTAAACTTATATACAGAACAATTAGCAAAATGTAGAAAGGGAAAACAATGTACAAAAGACGATAAAAAACATCACTCTTGAGGGACACCCATAATCCAAAATTAGTAGAAACCTGAAACAAAGCATTTTTAGCCAGCAGCCCGCCCATTCTCGCCAGTGAGAAGAAAAGCGCAAAGCGCAGGCCTCTGTCCCTCCATTCTTCAATGTGGGCTCAGCCGGCGGGACCACTGGGCAGCCTGGCGTTCCAACTCGGCCGGGTGGGGCAGGGCCCTAGGTGGCTCGTGGCCCAGTCACTCGGGGGCCTTTTTGCTCCTCTGCTGGCTGCGGGGCGAGTTCCTGAGCAGGCTGCGGATGCGCAGGTACATCCCCGTGGACTCGGCCATGTTCTCGAACTCGAAGGGCGTGATGCCCATGGCGAACTTGCTCATGTCCGGGACGGGGCTGTGCTGCGGGGCAGCTGTGGGAGGCCTGGTGTCCCCATTCCTGATGTCACAGTTCGATAGGATGGTGCTGGTGCCAGTGCCATTGCTGGTGCCGGTGCCAGTGCCATTGCCGAGTGGGGAGGCTCCGGGCTCCACCTCCAGGGAATCTGGCTCCATGGGCTCCTCCTCCGCCTTCGGGGACTTTGGTGTGGCCTCAAGGATGGGACTTCGGGGCAACCCCACGTCATCCTCCATGGTCTCCGCATCAGGGGTGGGTGCCTTGGGCTCTTCCAGGACGGTCCCCTCCCGGGCCTGAAGCTCCAGCTCAGGAGCGCTGGGCGAGGAGGCCACAGAGGTCCCGGTGAGGGGCGTGTCCCCTGGCGGGTCCGAGTCGCTGGCAGCGCCCTCCGTCTGCTCCAGGGCCGCCCAGATGCGCCGCTGCTGCTCCTCCAGCTCCTCCAGCGTGAGCGCGTCCTCGTCCACAGCAGCTGCCCGGGGCTGAGGCGAGGCGCGGGGCGTGAGCGGCGGGGTGCCCTTGGGCAGCGGGGGCACGAAGACGGGCGGCGGGGTCCCACGGGGCAGCGGTGGCTGGAACTGGAAGGCGCCGGCGCCCTGGGAGCCGTGGGCCACCTCCACATCTGTAAGGCGGTGAGAGATGTTAGGGGCAGTCACGGCCGAGATGCAGGGTACACTAGGGTTCTGGCCTGGAGGCTGGAATCTCCAGCAGCACAGCAGTAACCTGCTGTCCCCTGCCATGGAGCCGGGTGGTCAGGACAGAAGGGTCCTGGGAACCGGTGCAGATCCTGCGAGGAGCAGCCCCACCTATGTACCCCGCTTCCCAGGAGGACAGCAACTGCGAGCAGCGCGGAGCTGCAATAGTGGCCTCAGGGAGGCTTGCTCCCATCAACGCGAAGTGTCCCTAGGTCTGTCTCAGCCAGAACCGGGCCTGGGCCTACCTGTGAGTTGCAGCAACTGCAGCAGTAGCACTGCCTTGGCTCGAAGGCCCCGGATGGAAGCTGGCGGCTTCCGGCCCTAGCTTTTTTCATGCCTACCTTGCCACAGCCAGCATCTCAGGCCCACGCCACGACACGGGCACAAGGCCTCTGCCCTACCTCTGGGGCTCCCCCTCAGGTTGCAGCCACATGCATCTTCCTGAACCGCCATCCCTCCCACCTGCCTCCACCTCCCGGGCAGCACCACACTGCCCCCTGCTGGCGACCCAGGTCCATGGCTCCTGCTGTGATGGCAGCTCTGGCTCCCCAGTAACCCCAAGACCACTGAATTTGCTCCTCAGGATGCAGTTTCCTGTACCACAGAAGGTGTGCCATCAGCTCTGTGGCAACAGCCGGTCACACTGCTGTCCCCGGTGTATCACCGCAGGCCCCTGTATTTCCCCACCAGAGTGATGCCGACAGACCCTCCTGCAGTCAGTCCCCAGGTGGCAGAAAGGCAACCAGGGCAGGATGTTGTCTCGCTAAAGTTCCTGTCCTCAGGGCGCAGAGTAGAGGGGTCTAACACACTGCAGGCTTAGAAAACGTGGGCCATTCAACTGACTCCTGACCCCTACAGAAAACCTTAGGCAATCCTGAACTTCACCGCACCAGTAACAAACAGTGTCACACAGGTGAGTGAGACAGCATCCTGGAGACTCTAATTATCATCTTGGCCCTCAGAAAACAGCTGCTTGGCCATGGGCTTTCTTTACATACATTCCTACCAATGGCACATGCATGACAGCCCCAACAGGCGCTTGGGCCACCGGTGGTACAAATGGATTGAATCACTTTTTTCTTTTCTTTTCTGGAACCGGGGATTGAACTCAGGCCCTTGTGCTTGCCAGTGAAGCGCTTATTCTACTGAGCCATCTCCCCAGCCTCCGCTCGAATCACTTTTGTGGGTCTTTTTAATTCTAAAATGAAACCTGAGCTGGCAGCAGAGATTGATAAGCCCAGTGCAAATGGAGGGCTGTGTTCCCCACTGGCGTTTTTTATACTTCTTCAGATTGGGTCTCTCGAGGGCCAACCAGATAGCACAGTGGATTATGCAGGGACTGGGTTTGATCCCTTGGTTGCTGTGCCGGCCCCACCTCCAGGGCACGCTAAAATGGAGACTGAGACTGGGCATATATGGTGGTGTACACCTGTAATCCCAGCACTTGGGGGCTGAAAACAGGAGAATCACTACCAGTCAGATCTATATAGTGAGACCCTGTAGACCCTGCACTAAATACATTAAAAAAAAAAAAAAAATCAAGACTAGGTCTCTCTCAGCTGTGCTGTCTGGGACCAGCCTGGTCTACAAATTTAGCTCAAGGCCATC